GAAGGGGGGGGTGTTTGCCATTAGTGAGGGTTAGATATGTAATTTCCCCCCATATATAATGTCAAAAAATAGGGTCGGTTTTTCGATCAGTGACGGGGGAAGGTTTCCTCACCGACGAGCTGATCAACCGCCTCAACCAAAACCTCAACCGGATCCAATTAACCAAACTGATTCTGGCCAAAAACCATCGGAAACGATCAGTTGGGCGGTTTCAACCACCCAATGCTCAGTCCTGCAAACAGCTCCAACTTGGCTTAGTAATTAAACAAAGCTCAAGCTGCAACAGGAAACCCATTCCTTAAAGAAGCCAAGTATCAGAAGATCTATGCCCAACTTGAATGAGCTTTTCAACATACGGCTTGATAGAGTTTATGATTGCTCAACTTCGAAGCATCTTAAATCAACTCAAGGTTCCACATTTTTTCTTGTCAAAATACATATTAGATAACAATCCTGCATCCATCAAAAAACTATTAAAAAGAAGGGCAAGAAGTAGCTCTCGGCTCATAAACATCCTTGCTAGGCTCTGGCTTACAGGATCAGACAAAAGTCTCCAAGGAAAGATGGATTTTTCTTTTGCCAAGTCAGACATATTTAATAAGCAGATCAACAGATTTAAGCCTACCATGCATCTCCATCATATTCACAACTGAGACAGCTAAACTGAAGAAAAGTAATCCCTCTTCTTCACAACTAAATGCATCTACTTTTGAAGAAAAAACAAAACTCAACTTGCTTGGACTCAGCAGTTAATGTCAAACACAAGGATGTGCCCAACACATGCCCTTTCCTTTTTTCCTTAAATTTGGAGGGTCATACCTCATATTCACACCCATTTTGAGTGTCAGAATGTAATCCAACATGGGTAATGACAAGACCAAGCAACATGGAACAAGTCTAAGATAATGTAATTAACTAGTGATGTAAACATTTCTCATAAGACACATTAATCACCCTCACTACAGCAAAATCATGCATAACAAAACTGGAATGATAAGCCAGCAATGACAAAATTAAATCATGTATTATGCTACAATTAGACGATCAACTCTGACCTGTAGTTGCTTCTTCTCAACTCTTGAACAACTTGCCGGAGTTGGCTGTGAGTACGTGAGGTATAGACAATAGTTGGAAGGTTGCCAGCCTGAGATTGCGATGATCCCACATCAGATTGGCTCCCAGAAAATAGACTCTTTATTTGACTACTCCCCGTTGAAAAACCACCCAAACTCTTCCTCCAGGCCAACGTGGCACAGAGAAGACATAAGGTTTTCCCAGTTCCAGTAGGACTCTCCAAAAGTGCATTACACCTCTGCCACATGAAAGAACAAATAGAACACCCCTTGAATTAACAAAATTCATACTGCCCATAGCTTAATAGCATAAAAGCTGAACTCAGAACATGAAAATATAATCATCCAACAGCGATATCCAACTCAAAATTATGCCAAAATCATAAGCAACAATTACCAAAACGTCCCTCAATTACATACCAAATTTCAAAAGACTGCATCAAAATTTTATTTTCCTTGAACATATTTCTAAGAAAAACTGAACAGTTCATTAATTTCAATAAACTAAAAATACGATTTTTATTTATTTTTCAAAACAATTAAAATGAAAAAATTGAAAAAAAAATGAAGCACTGTTCATTAGACTCAATTCCATTACTCAGACTAAAAGATAAAACCTTTATCACTAAATGAAAAAAAAATAATACAAAATTTAAGAAGACAGACCTTTTGGAGAGCTTCAATAACTTTCTCCATGTAAACAAGTTGGCAATCATAGGCCTCAAATGGAAAATCAACATCGATTCCCCCTAATTTGTATGTTGGCATCTTTTTCTGTTTGGATTCGGAGAAACTGGATGAAAGATAATGGTGGTATTTTGCCTTCGGTTTATTGTTTGTTTGGATTGAGAAACGGGAACGCTGTATGTAAACCCTAGAAAAACAAATGTGAGCTGGATTTTCCCGCCATTGCGCTCCCAAGTAGTATAGGGCTTGTTTCCGCAGACGCTGTCGTTTGACAAAGCATCCTAATTATAACTAATTTTTTTCGAGTATGAAAATGCAGTCCCTCTAGTTTATATTTTATATTTTATATTTTAAATTTAAATTATATCCAATGAAAAAAAAAATTGATAGCATCGACTATTTTTTAATTAAATATTCTTCAGCTCAATCTTGACTCAACTTAAAAACATTATCTTATTGGATCAATATTGTGATTTTATTATAATTTACTTCCAATAGATATTATAAAAATAATAAAACACCAATATAAAATTATTTTTTTATTTTAATTTTTAGCAACCTAAAATAAGTCTATGAGTGAGATTGTGCTCACTCTTCAAGATTTCAACTTAAGTAATCCTCGATCAAGCCGACCTGAGCATGCTCCATGGGTATTTGTAGTATTAAGATGTTAATTTGGGTATGATATGACATTGAAGTTGAATTCTTTTGTCACGTCACACGTGGCAAAAACAATCTCTTTTGTTTTTTTTTTCTTTTTTCTCTATTTTCTTCTTTTATCTATATGTGTTTTTAATAAATAAAAATAAATAAATTTTAAACTTGAAACTTCTAAAAAGAGAATAATAATATATATTTTTCCTCATCAGCAAGTGCACCCAATCCTAGTAGTACCCACCACCCGATATTGTACTCAACATGCCAACAACCAAGCAAAATTGTCAAAATGAAAATTCGAGAGGTTAATTATTAAATTGCATATAATGTTTCAATTCCAAAAGTTGCAACACTTCAAACATGTAACATGTTGATCCATTCTTAACATCACCATTAGCTATTCCCCATATCAAATATATTGTAAAATCACTCAAAATCAAAAAATTAGTTTATCCCAACTCTCCACAACACAATACGTTTGGTTCGCGAAATAGATAAAAATAAAATAAAATATTTATTTTATGATAATAAAATAAAATAAAAATAAAAAAAATAATTATTACGTAATTTGGTACGGTGAATAAAATAAAGTAAGAATAAATTATTAAGATTTATTATAGTATTTGGTTAGGAAAAATAACTTTTGAATAAGAGAAGAATATAAGATATAAATATAAAATTATCTTTTATTATATATTATTTTATTGAATTTTATTTTTAAATATTAATATTTTATTTATAATCTAATCATTAACATTATAAAATACTAATATTTTATTTATAATTTAAATGTTGATACTATTATTTATTTTCAACTTCTTTATTTTTCAATATTAATAATTTATAATTTATTAAAATATTAGAAATTCATACAATAAATATTAATATTTTATTCATAATTTAATCATTAATATTATAAAATATTAATATTTTATTTATATTTAAATGTTATTATGATTATTTATTTTTATTTTATTTTTAAATACTAATAATTTATATTTTTATTTAAAATATTAATAATTGAGCGTTTAAATATTAATATTTTATTTATAATTTAATCATTAACATTATAAAATACTAAAATTTTATTTATAATTTAAATGTTATTATGATTATTTGTTTTTATTTTATTTTAAAAAGTGAATAATTTATCATTGATTTAAAATATTCATAATTGATATTTTAAATATTAATATTTTATTTATAATTTAAATGTTACTATGATTAAAATATAAATACTTTTAATTAAGTTTAAATTCAATATATTTCATATTATATAATTAAAAACTTAAACTTTTTATTATAATAAGATTTATTTTTCCTGTATTTGCATTTTTCAATTTTTAAAATATATTTTCACTCAATAATTTAAAATTTTTAATTTTTAAAATATTAATATTTTAATTATAATATATTAATGTTATCAATTTAAGTTTGTAATTATTAAAAGTAAGTAAAGACATTTTAGTTCAAACTGTTTGGACTTTAGTTCGATGTGTACGGAATAGCTAATACCAAGAAGGGAAGTGGTATTTGCTATTCCAATGTTTTGGCAAGTTTTGAAGATCCTTCCACTAAAAACAAACCAATGGGGGGAGAAAATTTTTTATGGAATAAATAAAGTCATTCCCCCAATCAAACATTCCCTAAAATTACTCCATAGGTGGAGAAATAACTTTTAAAATTAATAAGATAAAAATACCCTTATTAGTGAACATGAAAAAAAAAGAATTTAAAACCAAAGGTTTAATTTTTTATTATATATTATAAAAAATTAATATTTAAATTTTAAAATTAATTAAAATTATTAATATTTTAATGATAATAATATCAAAATTCTAAATAAAATATTAATATTTAAATTATAAAGAAATTACTAGTATTTTAAATAAATTATAAGTTATTAATATTTAATACATAAAATAACAATAGATAATCATATAATATAATAAAAAGTTTAAAATTTTGATTATATTATAAAAATATTTTAAATTAAATAATTAATCAAAATTAATAATATTTCAATCATAGTAATTTTATATTATAAATTACATATTAATATTTTAAAATATTAACTATTAAATTATAAATAAAATATTAATATTTGAATTATCAATTATTAATATGTTAAAAAATTATAAAGTATCAATATTTAAAAATAAAATATATAATCATGCATTATAATAAAAATTATTTTTAACTTTTTGTTCATTTTTATTTATTTTTTAAATTATTTTTATCAATAAAAGGAAAATGGAATAGCCATTCCTTTCCTATTTTCATTTCTAAGATAAAGTTGTATTTGGTTCAATGGAATGGCTATTCCTCAAGAGAAACTGAATAGTCATTACCAAAACTCCCTTGGTAATGGTTATTTCAAGTTGTTGGGAATAAGAAAAGAAGTTAATTGGATAAAAATACCTTTTTATAATTGAAAATATTACCTTATTGTTATGAAAAATAACTAAAAAGAATAAATAAAGATAACTTGAAAGAATAATTAAAGAGAAGAAAGAAAGTATTTAGAGGGAGATGAGAGATTTTATTGAAATGCATATACAAAAAAACTAAGAAGGCCCTATTTATAAGCAAATAACCTTTTTACAAGATGAAGATAACACTTAGAGATTAGATAAATTAAATCGTAATCTAATCTAATTTATATCAAATCTAGATATAGATAACATGAATAGATATTCACAAAATATTCATAACACTCTCCTTTGAATATCCATTATATTAAGAATATACCTCATTAAAATCTTACACGAAAAAAACCTCATAGGAAAAAATCCGAGTAAAAGAAAAAGAATACATAATTCTTTTCAAGAATACACTTATAAAATACGACCTTATTTAAAACTTTATTAAGAAAAACCTAGTGAGAAAAATTTTGATGAAGGAAAAAAGAGTACAGTTCGTATTTTACTCTCCCTGACAACTGCATTATTTAAGATCTTTAAAATAGCGCATCTCGATCTTTTATACTAACTTTTCGAATGTTGCAATAGAAATGGCTTTAGTAAACAAATCTGCTAGGTTGTCACTTGAACGAATTTATTTAATACTAATATCACCCTTTTCTTAGAGATCATAAGTGAAAAAGAATTTTGACGAAATATGTTTTGTTCAATCGCCTTTAATGTATTCATCCTTTAACTGTGCTATGCAAGCAGTATTATCCTTGTATAATGTTGCTGGAATTTCTTTCTTGGTTGACAAACCACATGTTTCTCGAATATATTGAGTTACAGATGTTAACCAAACATATTTACGACTTGTCTCATGAATTGCTAAAATTTTTGCATGGTTAAAAGAAGTAGCAACTATAATTTGTTTTACAAAATGCCATGAAATAGTTGTACCTCCATTTGTGAATAAGTAACTTGTCTCGGATCGAGCTTTATGTGGATTTGATAAATATCATACATCTGCATAACCAATTAAATCTGATTTTAATGCATTTAAATAGTATAAGCCCATATCCTTGTTCCTCGAAGATATCGAGTATATATTTAATTCCATTCCAATGTTTTCGAGTTGAAAAAGAACTATATCTTGTTAATAAATTCGTAGCAAATGATATATCAAGTCGTGTATTGCTAGCAAGATATATTAGTGCTCAAATTGCACTAAGATATGGTACTTCAAGACCAAGAAGTTCTTCAATATCCTCACGAGATCTGAAGGGTCTTTTTTCACATTTAATGATCTTACAACTATTGATGAACTCAATGGATGTGCTTTGTTCACATAAAATCGTTTTAATACTTTTGCTATATAATTAGATTGATGGACAAAAATTTTATTTGTCAAGTGTTCAATCTGAAGACCCAAATAAAACTTTGTTTTTCCAAGGTCTTTCATCTAAATTCTTTAAGTAATCAACAGCCTTTGATAACTCTTCAGAAGTTTCAATAATATTCAGATTATCAACATAAACAACAATTATCACAAATTCATATCCAAATCTTTTTATAAAAACACATGGGCATATAGGATCATTTTTATAGCCTTCTTTCAACAAAAATTCATTAAGGCGATTATACCACATGCATCCGGATTGCTTTAATCCATATAAAGATTAATTTAATTTGATCGAATAAATCTCTCAAGAATTCAAATTTTGTGCTTCAGGTAACTTAAGTCCTTCAGGGATTTTCATATAGATATCATTATCGAGTGAGTCGTATAAATAAGTTCTACCTACATCCATCAAAAGCATTTCAAGCTTTGCATGTACTGCTAGACTACTTAAATATTGAAATGTAATTGTATCCACCACAAGAGAATATTCTCTTTATAATTAATACCAGGTTTTTGGGTAAAACCTTCTGTGATAAGCTGTGCTTTATATCTCACAATCTCATCTTTCTCATTTCGTTTCTCTACAAATACTTATTAATATCCCACTGCTTTTATGCCATTTGTTGTACAGACTACATGTCTAAAAACTTCATGTTTTGCAAATGAATTTAATTCCACTTTGATTGCGTTTTTTCACATTGGTTAATCATTTTTATATCTACATTCTTCAACAGATATATGTTCAAAATCTTCATTTTCTT